TGCTCTAGGTGAAGAACAGACTGAGACCGAATGAGACTGAATGGGATCGCGTGAAAGTATTGCTTTGCTAACTTGCAGTCAGTTTCTTGAAAATGATTGGTAGGAGCGACACCTGTGATGCAGCCGCTCTGAGCTACTCTTGTGTCGTTCGTTTTTTTCGGAAAAAAGTGCGCGTTAGAAGGAACTACACGAGAAATGCTAAGAAACATGTCGACGTACTGAAACATGCTCGGGAGAAGACATCACAACCGCAGGACTATTATATTTAGCGGGACAAAGCCTTTCGACTCATCGAAAACCAAAACTCTATCAATGTAACCTAACCTACCAAAGCCGGTCTCACGACATTCAGTGGTATGCCTTCTGGTCAGATCCGGTCCGGACCGTATCTCGGAAAAAATATATGTTTTGATTTTCTTAGTAACGACCATAAGGACAAAAGTACATAAGATATTAGTCGCCTCTGCAGCATCTCGCACAAAATGAGCCATTTGGTACAAAATACATCACGAGCGTACCAAAGCTGTTTATGAGGTGATAGCGGCTCGCAGACCTCTGCCTCTAGAATAGGGAAACACATGCTCACATGTTGTAGCATGCTATGAAGTGGCGACCACGTGGTGACACAAATCCCTGTTGCTTGCCGAATCTCTTGCACCGCACCAATGCGGTTAGTTATGTGGGTTATCATTTTATACCACAGAGTGTTGTTATGTTTATTCTTTATTTGTATCCTAGCTATTTTTGTCACGATGTGGTTGACGTCTTGTCGGGCTGCATGTGGAGTAGAAATCAGCCATACGCTGACCTTCTGACCGAAAGACCTTCAGCGAAGTCCCACGCGAGTCAAAATCAGCGGAAACTCAATATATTCATCTGTAGGAGACTGAAACTGCCCAGAGTATAACCTGCCGAAAACCGTCCTTAGAACGGTGATAAGAAAACATTCGGTAACAACGACGTTGATGGGCAAAAACCTGAGTGCGCGAATCAAGGGAGAAAACGCGTGACGCTTTTTCACACGTTTGTGTGAAATGCTTGCCCCAACAGCTTACAAGGAATCACAAATTGCATTGCAATAAGGCGGCACAGACAAAGAAATTGGCGTGATGTGTGATTTGATTTCTTAGTTGTACTTCGTGAGGTCAGAGTCGGTAATGTGCGTCTTTTTGTCACGCGTGTTCTGAGACAAAACTTTGCATGAGAGCCACATAACGTACTGGCATTGTGCGTTCGCTTGATATTTGTACATTCCAAAGTTGTGAGAAAGGTCCGTGACCAAAAATTCACTCAAAATGCATCTTGCTAATCTGCTTAAACGCATATGATATTGCAACCGTACTTTGATTAAAATGAATGCGTAGAATAAGTGGCATAGCACAATCCCTTAACTAAGACGTTAAGAAAAGAGCAGATCAATGCAAATTTAAACGGCTGTTAATGTGATGTTGACACTCACAAATTCAGGTAGGCATGGATAGCTCAAACGACATCGAAAATGACTGTGGCATACAATACACATCCAGGATAGAATATGATACATATGATGACACTAAACTCGCTCGATCCAAAACACTCTTTCATGTGGGGCTGATTGCTACCTTGCCTATGCACTGATTTAGTGATGGCAATTGCTCGTAAATATCGATAGCTTTTCTTAGGACGTATCGAGACCAGTTGGGTTACATTGATAGAGTTTTGGTTTTCGATTAGCTGAAAAGTTTTTCTCACTGAATCTAATAGCCTTCTAGATGTGACGTTCCCCCTGGAGCATTTTTCACTACATTCGTATGCTCCTTAGCACTTTTCATGTAGTTTCTTCTAACTAAAGCTCTCTGAGCCACTTGTCTAAAAAAACAGAACGAGACAAAAATAGTTCAAGTCGACTGCATCACAGATTTCACTTCTCTGAATTAGTTTCAAGCCACTTTGACTGCGACCCAGCCAAACAATGTCTCCATGGGATTCCATTTGGTCATATTCGGTCTCGGTCTGTTCCTTATTAAGAGCACTTCAGTGATATTTTTATTAGAATACCAAAGAACGTCACGACAAGAAACTGATGCTTCAGGTGCCGGCATGCGTTCGTAAACAATCCACCAACGAACGGGCAGCCAGGTTTAACACCAATTTGTTTCCATGTTGTGGTTTGGGCAAATACAGATTTCCGATGATTGACATCACTTTTAGTCAACATTTACTTCTGTCTTGATGGTAACTACATCTTTCGCATCGATGCGGACGACCACCGCCGTCACCGCCGCTACTGCCTCTGCCTCCTCAGCCGCAAACGCCTCCGTCGCCGCCGCCGCCTCCGCCGCCGCCATCGTCTCCACCGCCGCCGCCGCCGCCGCCCCCGCAACAGCAGTCGCTTTGACGGTCTGTCGACAAGAAAATGTTGTTATCGACATAATAAGATGCGTTTTTATCATCGGCTAGGATATCATTTCTCGACACAGCAGATTTTGGTGCTAGTGTGAATGAGTGATGGGTCCTAATGCGAGCGGTTATTTCTTACCTTAGTGCGGGCGAGGAGAACGAACGTGTCCTAATGCGCACATGTAGCATCGTTATTTCTGAACATGCTTAAATTGTATTAGGATGGAATAGGTCAACAAATGCAGCGGAAATGATGTAGCATGCATGAAATGTCCAGATGTGTTCCGGAATGCCCAACTGCATGATTTGAAGCGCTGTGCTGGCGGTGATATGCATCAGCGCCGCGTGACGCGTTCGTGTAAGCAAACATGCCGTCAAGTCCTAGAACGTGAGCCGGCAACATGAACAACAATTCTTGAAGGAGATAAAAGTAATGGTGCTTCACTGGTGTCTTCGATAGCCCCAAGGTACTAATACTCACGAGCTGCCGTGCCAGACAAGAGCAGCGTCAGCAACAGAGCGACCAGGATGGCACAGCTAAACCACTTCATGTTGGGTCTGATGCCGTGCATTCGTCTCCGCCGTATTATATACCGACCTGGCTGAGGCCCGGTGTCCGGAGGCGTTTGGTCGCGGGTGGAGTCAGAGGCGACGCAGGACGGAAAATCCTGGTACTTTTTCGGTGATTGGGAACTCGCTAAACATCTTGGAGGTGATCACGACATCAGGACTGGGGACCTCGTATGCTTTAAATAATCAAGCCTCAATATGCCAGAAAGCGTTGGCAAAATGACGTATAACGCAAGCATTGCTACATTGATTAAGCTTGTTATTCCCTGACTGTGTGCTCTTGGTCACAAGGTCCCAACGTTGAAAAAGATAGCACCTAAACACACATGATATACCGGTAAGGCTCTGAATCGGTGACAACACTGTCAATTATAAGATGTCACAATGATCAATACTTGAACCCTGACCATTGCCCTTAAAAAATCCAACACCAGGTTACCAGTATTTATTTCACATGGAAACCCACCGCTTTGTGTATGTCCGTTCCATGTTTCGACACCCTTGTTGGCACACCCAGATGGAAGCTATACCACAGCACTGCGCACTAAGTCCCTTGCCGCTCCAGAAGACCGCATCTGCAATTATCACGTCCTTTGGCTACCACGAAAGCGGGCCTTATATAACAAATGCAGAGAGTGATGCGTGCATCTCTTGATACCCGGTGGCCAGATTTAATCTTATCTAACTGTCGCTTCGTTACTGCGAGAGGGCATACCCCAAACACCGAGTGTGATCCGCCGCTTGTGCTCCACGTCCTCGATGTAACGCCGCACAAGGCTCGCGAAGATATCGTAGAAAGGTGGTACAGGGCTTCTCCGTGAGCTGCTGACGGCGGACATCCCATTCGTTTTGATCGGAGCGTGTTTGTTAATGATCGGTAGAAAACAGTTGAGTAGATGGGACCACACATTAGCGACTAATGGACGTCTAAACGCACCTGACCAGTCGACATAGTACAAGTCACGAAATACTACAAACATGGTCAATACGTTTCGACAGTTGAGTACGGATGCGGATATGCAACACGACACATTGGCAAAACTAAGCGCGCGAGCAAAACAGCGTGTGCTAAAAGTGCACTTACGAGCGTCAACACGCCAAACGCCGATATCTAAATTAGAAATGACCCCTTTAAAAGCAGCCAGAGAGAAAAGTTGGATTGTCGGACAAACTGGTTTAGTCGAAACGATCAGAGCATGTCATTCAACCGGTCTTTTCCAACGTTGCTTGCAGGGTCCAATAAATTACACTTTAAATCGCCGATGATGACGATCTGTTTGTGGCACTGTAAAACTATTCGTGCATATTACAACTGCAGTTCGCTACGTGTTTCGTTTGTGTTTTGTTGTGACATGTTTGACGAACCGAAAATACCAGGAATTCCAGGCTTAAGCTCAAGGTGAATGTTCCACAATTGAAGATATTGAAGCAAGTATTAGTTATGATGAAGAAAGCTCACTTATAACTATTGGTACACCTGTGGGTGGAAAAGACCGCTCTAGACAACATCAGTTCTTAAGTTAACATGCTTCTCAATGCGTCATTTTCATTGTGTCATCACCCTCTCCACAGCATGGATTGAGAGCCACTTAGCGAGCGTTATATCTGGAAAAAGTGCTCACGAACGCCAGATATGAACAACTCGACGATAATATTTTCGTTGGCATTGATCGCCGCATGGCCAATGGAATGGCAGTACTTAAATGACGTCATTATGGCACCATGGACGTGTGGGTGACCTGGAAATAGTCTACACGAAAAAGTCTGCACACCTCCGCGGACGCGTAGCTTAGAAACTAGAGGGGTTTTACTCTTAAAAAGGCATGGCTGTGAGCTGCACTGAATGGCCTCCAAGACGGTTTTTCATTTCGAAACCCCATCCAAATGAAAAACACTCCCTTTGATGATATCGCGTCGTATCAGCAATGTAATGGCATGTTTTTGGAATTGCTACGAACGAACATTTGTCATTATAGCCGTTTCCAGAACCCTTTACATACAAGCCCAATAGTTTGTTCGTTAAGTTGGATGCAACGAAGACGCGGAAACGT